AACTCGGTCTCTCCCAACTCAGTCTCAGCAACGGCCATGGCTTCCATCCACTCCATAGCTCCCCAGAGCTTCCTCCCTCTCCCAAACTCCAAACCCAGAAAACCCACTAATGCTCACCCAAAACCCATCTTAAGCTCCAATCTTTGCAGCTCCAAACTCTCAAAGAACCAAACTTTCCTGAGAAACAAACGGAAAGACAGGTGGATTTTGAAGTCCCTGGTTGATCAAGAAGAGTGTGATGTCATCCCACTTCAGAGCACTGACTGTACGGACCAGCAGGAAGGGATGGCTGTGTGCAGGGTGGAGTGTGAAGGTGTGGAGGGCGAGTTGGCGAGTCAGGTAGGTGGGTTTGGAGCAACTGAGGGAAGGCTTTCCTTTGAAGGGGCTGGTGGGTTTGGGTCTTCTGGGGTTGGAAATGAGAGGGAGAGTGAGGAATTTGAGAGACTTGTAGATAGGACTATCAATGCCACTATTGTGCTCGCAGCTGGTACTTTTGCTATCACTAAGTTGCTCACTATTGATCAGGATTACTGGCATGTGAGTCAAGCTCTTTAGTATTTAATTGAATTTTTATTTATTTCCATGTGATTTGGTTTTGTTCAATGTGTGATTCTAGTGTTCTGTGGCTTGCTGTGTGAGAATTTGAGGTGAAGTTGGTTCTTAGATTAGTTCTGTTCTTTTTTTTTTCTTATTCATTCTGGTTCTTTTAGGTTGCTTATTATTCTCGGGTTAATTAACATTAGCCGCTTTGATGGTGAGCTTTTATCAATTGCCTGCATTGCTTTTTTCTTTAAGTTTGTGCTCTTGGAAGTTGGAGTGCGAAGGTCAAGCATTTTCAATTTATTTGGTGGAAGTTGGGCAGGTCGCCTGTCTTATGATAAATGTGTGAAAATGTTCTAATTATAGGGGAATCCTTTGTCGTGGATTGATGCTGTATAGTCAAATTTTGAAGTGATGCTGTTGCTGTCTTTATATGATCATTCATGAGGAAGCAAGAGTGAAGAGATATTCTATAACTTACATGGAAACAATGAAGTGGATATTGCTTTTGAAGGATTGTGATTATTCAAACTTGTTAAATCCGATAGGAAACATGATCTGGAAATGTTATGTCAAATCAGGGATGGTTTTGCACTATAGAATAACAATCACGGGGAGCAATAAGGACATATAATGGCAAGGGATGGAAGATGAGATTAGTTAGTTGCTTGTGAGGCTGAAAGAAAAAAAAAAAAAAAGACAATAAGAGAATTTGGTGGGGGACTAGGAGATTGCTGCATTTTCTTAAGTTGAATTTAGTGAAGAGAACTTGTCACTTATGGTTAGAGTGGTATGAAGCAATATGTTTGGTCTGGTCCAATTAGTTCGTAGTTATATTTAGAAAATTTCATTATAGGTTGCGATTTGAGATTTGAATGTCTTGATTTTATGATTTTCTATGTCCATGTGCACTGCCCTTGTATCAATTTGTCTGCGGGGATTTATGTGTTGGTACTCTTTTCAGGGTTGGACTCTGTTTGAGATCCTAAGATATGCACCTCAACACAACTGGAGTGCTTATGAGGAAGCTCTCAAGACTAACCCAGTTTTAGCCAAAATGGTGATTAGTGGTGTGGTGTATTCTATAGGGGATTGGATTGCACAGGTGTGTTGGTGTTTTGAATTAAAACTATTTGAGTCTTCCAGTTGGTGAAGTTTGTCCTTGACAGTGCATAATGCTTGTCTTATAATTTTTGTAGTGCTTTGAAGGAAAACCTCTATTTGAGTTCGATCGTACACGAATGCTCAGGTCAGGTCTTGTTGGATTTACTCTCCATGGTTCCCTCTCTCACTACTATTACCAGTTTTGCGAGGTAAATTTCTTGTGCAGTTGTTTATTTTTAGAATTTAACATTTAAGAAAAATATTCCTGGGGTTCGGTTCCTTAACCAACTTAAACTTGTTTCAGGAGCTTATTCCATTCCAAGACTGGTGGGTGGTTCCTGCCAAAGTAGCCTTCGACCAAACTGTATGGGCAGCAATTTGGAACAGCATTTACTTTACCGTTTTGGGATTTTTGCGTTTCGAATCACCCATCGATATTTTTAGTGAACTCAAAGCGACATTCTGGCCCATGCTGACTGTAAGAGAACCCCCTGCCTTTTTATAAGAAAAAGTACCACCTTTTCATGCTCTGTTGACTGTTTAGAGTAAAATTACTTGCAATCTAATTCATTCTCATTTCATGCCCTCTAGCTTGTGGGCAATTGAAAAGCCAGGATCATCCGGTGTCTTTTATCAATTAGAACTTGAATTGCTAGTTTTTTCGATTTTTGGAGCATTGTTCTGTCACTTTTCAATCAAATAATGTTTGCGCATTCGACTATGTATTGGCATTTATATTGTGTCAGCTGTTTCCTGTCCATGTAGTTTTGAACTTTGTTTTTTCTTGCTGCAATGTAGTATTAACCTTGGCAACCAGTTTTAGACAATAATGTTTGCTTTGCAACTGGTCTTGGCTCAGCAATCAGTGCATATATGGTCCAGCTGAGAAAATTTTTGTCAACATTAAACTCTGAAATGTCTTTTCCTTCCTGAACTCCCAAACATCACCTTCCTAAAGTCTAAAAGACACTGTAAGGAAAAGCAGGGCTATTTAGAGAAATAAAAAGTGCTTATTTTTCATGGTCCGGGTCATGTGTCAAAAGTGCTGCTAGCTTTAGCAGTTATATATTCCTTGTTTAAAGTTTGGGTTAGAAGAACATGTAATTGTTTGACCATTGAAATCTTTCTGGAATGTAATTTCTTATGTAGGCTGGGTGGAAACTTTGGCCATTTGCGCATCTTATTACCTATGGTGTGATCCCTGTCGAACAAAGGCTCTTATGGGTGGACTGTGTAGAGTTGATCTGGGTGACTATACTATCAACGTAAGTATTTAATATTGATTATTTGTATTTTTCACTAATAAGCAGAAAAGATTGAAGATCATGACTTTCTTTCCTCCTAAAAGCCAGAGCTAAATAATTACCCTCACAAAAATTATTCATGTTTTTCTTTCGTATTTGGTGCGTATAAAAAAGGGTTTTGTCTGGCAGAACTAAATTGTGCACTGTAGTTGATGTTTTCTTCATATAAAAGTTGGTTTCAGAAGTTTAATTTTAAAAATCTTACAAATTTGAGGTATATATGATGTCCAAATATGTGGCAGATAAAAGCGTCTACTATATATATTGCTGCTTTTTCCATAGAGTGAATCTGGTTTGGAAGGGTCTGGTCACTCTTTTTTGGCCACATTTTGTTTTGCTCTCAATTTCTATAGGAAAAGATTCCACCATGAAATATTTTGGGAAACTTAAACTTAGGTATTTGTCGGGCTGCAGCATCTTTTTATCATTTCTTGCGTAGGTTTCATGTCTAACATGGCTCAAAATTTCTGTTTGCCAGCTATTCAAATGAAAAATCAGAGGCAAGGATTTCTGAGGCACCAGTTGAAGCAAATTCCAGTTCTTCAAACACAAGTCCTCTTGAGGTATATACAAACCCTTTTACACTGATTTTATTGTGTATGTAAGAGCTGCAGATTACAATTTCTGATATGCTACAATTTGTCTTCTTCCCCTTCATCAGGAGTAAACAAATCAAGAACAACCAAAAGATCAAAGAGGAATTCTTACATGAAAGAAATGGGCAAGTTAAGGTGTAGAAGATCCACTTCGCGACGTACCGTGACATAAAAGATGAAATGCCTGGCAATGTGGATATGTCCCTGGGCTGTCTGATTATGGTATATATATATACATACTGCATCAATCTCAGAAACATGCTTGTGCACGTTAAGCGATACCGTTCCGCCCCATATTTATGCATCAAGACCCTGGTATATAATTTTAGATCATTTAACTAAGTAATTCAACGACCTTAAAACAGAAAAAAGAAAAACTAATTAATGTAAAGGTAACAAGATTTGTATAGTTTGGCAAAAGTTGGAGACAAATCTTTCTGATTCGGATATGCTGTCACGTTTTAGAGGCGTCTTCTGGCTTAGTGGTATTTGTTCTCTGTCACTAGAGTATCAACTGGCGCTTTATAATACAACAGGGGATTGTTTAAGCAAAATCATTTTAGTTCCTGTGTTCTATTAACAAATTCTAACAAATTAAGAAACTGTTGGAAAATAAATGCAACTATGCATTCCCAAGTTAATAATCTCCTTAGAAGGCATTTTCAATCGTTTGGTGATCTGATCTTGTCATCAATCATATTCAAGATTCACCTCACTGGAAAGATTTGTGAGTGCTTTTAGAATGGCTAAAAACGCTTATAGGTCGTAAAAGTGCTTTCTAGATAAGCACATTCCACATGCTTCTTCAGTGAAACAGTTTGGTTTTTAATAAAAAAATTAATTGCGCTTCTAATAAAAGGGATTATGAACAGAAGTGCTGCTTACGCCCTTGGTGAGAAATCACTAGTGAAACTACCAACCATGTCAAACTTTTGCCCAATCATATACAACATTGAGCAAACTGGTCTTGACCTTTGGCTCTGTTCCGCAAATTTTCCCAACGATGTCACCTACCAAGACAGTTGGAAGTCTCCTGATGAAGACCGTTCGATTTCTTGAGTGGCTCTGGACTCCATCTTTGGTAAAAGTTGGTTTTCTTACCTCGACCCATAAAAGCGTAAAGGATATTGAACAGTACTGGTAGCATGAGGCGTTGAAGAATCAAGCCAAGCCCAGGACCCAAGCATTTTCAAGGCCGTAGTCGGTGAGGTACATGCGGCCCAGTTGAAACGTGAACTTCTTATAAGTTTGTAAAGAGTTTGTAGCGTAAGTGATTAAGAGCATTACGAACAAGTTAATGTCTCAACTAATCCTCAATATATCAACGTGTTGATTATAGAGCATCTTTATTTAGGGAGGGTACACTAAATGATGGGTTGAAATAGTATAATTAGTTAAAACTGTCAAGTCGTACTAGGCAAAACAAAGCAAATTATGATATATGCAGAGAGGAGATGGATAGACAAGAATCTTTCACGGTCAAAATCACAGATTGGTGAATAATATCCTCTAAAGAATAACAGAAATAAATTACAAGCCCAATCTTTTTTACGTACGTACAAAAACATGAATTTTTTTTGCAGCTAGCTCCTCCTTTAAGCCATAGACATGTTAGAGAGCCGACTAGGCGTTGGTTGGAAATTCCACCACCGAAGACTTAAGCTTCGGTTTGGTGTAGATCCCAACGCCCTCCTTAACACCTCCTTGTTTGCATTGTTCCTCCTCCACTTCTCAGCCCCCGGCACTGCATACCCGTGCGGGCTACAGCGATTCAGCCTGGGACGATTCGTGCAGGTGCATGCCTGCACTCGAGGCCTAGGGGATGATGAGGAGACCATACAACTGCGCCTAAGACCACGATTTGTTCCCTCTGTCTTGCTTTGTACACTGAGAATCTGTAGCCTTTCTCCAATGTTATGTTTGTAGTGGTGAGAGCTCCTTTGCATTTTGTGATGTCAGGAAGAGAAACAAGTATTGTGCTTTTGAATTGAATGTATTGTGACGATACCAAATGACCAAGATGCTTAGCTTTGGAGTGTTCGATGCTCACAAGTTTATATGCTTGCAAATGAGAGCCTATATTTAATGGAAGACATTTTCTCAGTTCAAAATGGTTGGGCTCTCCGAGTCTTTGACCAATTGAGATATTATATTTCTCTTCGGCTTGGTGACCAATTTGAAGACTTGGTCTAGGAGATGAGACTTTTATTTATTTTTCAAAATTGTATATTTGCATGCATAGGAGCCGTGACATTTGAATAGAAGTCTTGGCAAACTTGATGAATGTTCATCGAGACATGTCAAACACCTTTACATGTTTGATTTATGACATATTTGGTCCTGTAAGTTGGGCCTGCCTGGTATGATATTACGGCGGACCGGGCCGTTTTTTGGGTTCAGGCACATGGAATTCCAAGGCAATTCTGTACAACCAAGAATGCAAAGTGTCTAGGGGAAAAGATTGGTTCCGTTCTAGAGGTGGAAGACATCAAGGAAGCGGGATTCAGGGGCTTTGTTAGAATGCGAATTGATTTGGACGCTTCCAAACCCCTTCCTCCAGGTTTCTTTATGCCATGCCCAGTTCAAGGGAGAAGGAAAATTAAGCTCAGATATGAGGGTCTGAAGGATTTCTGCAGCAGATGTGGTAGGCTTGGGCATTCAAAGGGATGCCAATGGGGGACAAACACTAGGCTAGAGGCTGAGGGATTCAGGTATGACGAGGAGATCCGAGTCCTAAATATCTCAAAGGCATCATCTTTCACACTAACCCGAAGAACCGCAGCCCACTCATCAAGAACAGAGAGGGAGGAAAACCACTGGAGGTGGAAGATGGAACGCGACGGTAGGGGACTGTACGGATTCACGGAGGAACCTTGGGAACGGCAAGCGCGTGAAAACATGAGACTGGGGAAGTCAACTAATGAGACAAACCCAACAACTAGGCATGGGCACGCTGCAACTGTCTTGCTGAATCAACCTGTATCGCTGAACCAACCTGCGACTGAGCCAAGCCTGAATTCTGGGACTGATAGGCCTGTAAGTCCTGCAAACACCATTGGCAGACCTATGCATGCAGATTTTGTAAGAAGGTGGGACCCCGATAGTTTTGGCACCCAGTATCGCAACGGAACTCTTACAATAGCTGTAAATGGGCTTTCCTTAGAAAAACGATGGTGCGACCCGGATCGTGTTCCACCATGGGCTTTGGAGAGAGCAGGAAGTCTACTGGACCCACAACTCATACTTGGGCCCAAAAATGCTGATGATAATCTTGTGGTGTCAAGGGCACAAATTATTGAATTAAATCAGGATGTGGGTGAGCTACCACAACAATTGGGCCCTATGAAGCTCAAGAGAAAGGAGCACGAGGGCGAGCCCATAAAGGGGAATAATGAAATAAATAGTAAAGCTCGTGAGGAGGAAGTGAGCCCAGATCGTGATTGCTCAAAGAAGACAAGGGTAAGTTATAGTCCTAGACGCGGAGGTTCTATTAAAATACAAAACAGAGGAGGACGAGGGCTGTTGGGCAAATTAGCTCGAGGAAGAGGGCATGGAAGTCCAAAAGGAAAGAAATATGCTATCTTCCCCCCAAAAGATATTTGTAGTGAAAGCTTGTGTGAAGTGGTGGTGAGCCCATCAAAGGAGCTAGAACAGGTGGAGAAAAGGCAAAGAATCTGTGTGACTGGAAATTTCAACGATGAAAAGGGTTGTGGTGGCTGGCCCGAAACAGCCACAAGAAAGTCATGAGACAACTGGTCTGGAACTGTCAAGGGTTGGGGAATCCCTTGACGGTTCTGTATTTGAAGGAACTCATACGTTCCAAAAATCCCACTATGGTTTTTTTGATGGAAACAAAACAAAATTGCCACAGAAACAAGATGTTGAGGAGACAATGTGGTTTCAGTAAAGGTTTTACGGTTGATCCGATAGGTACTGCAGGGGGTCTTAGTGTGTGGTGGAAGCCTAGTGTGGAAGTGGAGATCACAGATTTCACCCGAAATTGGGTTGAGGCTTTGGTAAGAATGCAAGATGAAAATTTATATGGTAGATGTACGTGGATGTATGGAACACCTTATAGGCAAGAGAAGGTCAGTTTCTGGGAACAAATTACAGAATGGAATAAAAGTGATGGTATTCCCTGGCTAGTTATGGGAGACTTAAATGAAATTCTGTGGAATGATGAAAAAGAAGGGGGAAGGGATGCCGACACAAGAAGAAGATGTTTCCTGTTAAATTTCATGGATGCTCACAGTCTAATCGACCTTGGATTTTCTGGTCAAAGGTATACTTGGGAAAGAAGTAGTGGAGACAATATTTACATGAGGGAAAGGCTTGATCGTGGGCTTGTTAACAATGAATGGTTGGAAAACTGGCCCAATACCAGCGTATGTCATTGTATTCGTGTTGGATCCGATCACTGCCCTTTACTTTTGGATAGTAACCCGATCCCTTGGAAAGCACATAAACTTTTTCGTTTTGAAATGAAGTGGGCGGAAAATGCAGATTGCGATCAAATTATAATGGACAACTGGCAGTTGACTAATGGATGCAATAATTTGAATCAATGGGGTAAAAATTTAAACCGTTGTAGAGCCTCTCTTTTGGAATGGAGCAAGCAGGTGTTTGTCAATAGCAGGGGAAAGATCAATTCTAGTCTACAAGAGTTGGAGAATCTTCAAACCTGCAGCTTTAACGATGTGAATTTGGGTAGACAAGCTGAACTGAAAGGTGTGGTGGAACAGATGTGGAAAGAGGAAGAACTTTATTGGAAACAAAGGTCAAGAATTAGCTGGCTGAAAGAAGGAGATGCAAACACTCGCTTCTTCCATTTGACCACAATCCAAAGAAGACAGCAAAATAGAGTCTTAATTTTGAAGAATGACAGGGGGAACTGAATTACTGGAGAAAAGGTTATTGGAAAGGAATTTCTTAATTTCTTTAGCAACTTGTTTCGAACTACTGGCCCTAGAAATTGGGATGAAATCATTGGAAATATCCCGTCAATAGTGACGGAAGAGATGAATCGTGACCTCCTTGTCCCAATTACAGAAGAAGAAGTGAAAGCGGCGGCTGTTCAGTTGGGTGCTTGGAAGGCTCCTGGTCCAGATGGGTTTCCAAGTTATCTATATAAAAAATATTGGAAGATCATGAGCAATATTGTTTCTGGAACTGCCACTGATTTCCATAATGGTCTATGCAGCTTGGAAGAGATAAATAAAACCTTTATTGCATTGATTCCAAAGGTTCAATCCCCTGATAGCTTGGGTCAGTTCCGTCCTATAAGTCTATGTAATAGCTCTTACAAGATTTTAGCCAAAGTCATTGCTAATAGGCTAAAGAAGATTCTGCCAGAACTTATTTCGGACTCGCAGAATGCATTTGTGCCTGGGAGACAAATTCAGGATAACCTCATTTTGGCTCACGAGGCCTTTCACTATTTAAAGATGAAGAAAAAAGGAAGATGCTTCGAGACTGGTATCAAAGTGGATATGAACAAGGCATATGATAGGATTGAATGGGATTTCATGGAGGCGTTAATGAGGAGAATGGGGTTTAATTCTAGATGGATTAATCTGGTTTTGGGCTGCGTTCGATCCGTATCTTTCTCCATCATTTTAAATGGTAAGCCGGGTGGCTTTTTTCGCCCATCTAGGGGGCTTAGACAAGGAGACCCTCTTTCTCCGTACCTTTTCTTGCTGGTCAGTGAAGCTCTTTCTCTCAATTTATCGAAGTTGATTAGGGATGGTAACATCCAGGGCATTAAACTTGCTAGGCGGAGTCCTACTCTTTCACACCTTTTTTTCGCTGATGATTCGCTTTTCTTCTTAAAGGCGGATGTTTTGAACTTTCAAAGATTTATGCAGGTTCTTGATATGTATTGCCTAGCTTCAGGCCAATGTGTCAATTTTGAAAAGTCCAATATGGTGTTCAGTCCTAATACCCCCAGTTCTTTAAGGGTTCAGCTATGTGAAATGTTTGGTTTCAATGGAGTGGATAATGCTGGCACCTACCTAGGTCTACCTACGATCTGGGGTAGGTCTAAAAGGGCAGCCTTGGACTATATTAAGGATAGAGTTAGAAGGAAAATTGAGGGTTGGAAACAGAGCTCTCTCTCCTTGGCTGGGAAGGAAATTCTCCTCAAAGCAGTTGCAACAGCTATACCGGCGTACCCTATGTCATGCTTCAAATTCCCAGCTTCGGTGTGTAGTGATATAAATGGGGAGATGACACGTTTCTGGTGGAAAAATGGAGAAGAGGGATCAAAGATTCATTGGAAGGCTTGGGAGAGCTTATGTAAATCAAAGGACGAGGGAGGCTTGGGTTTTAGACATTTCTCTTCTTTCAACATTGCCTTACTAGCTAAACAAAGTTGGAGAATCCTCCAAAATCCAAATGCAAGCTGGGTGAGAATTTTGAAAGCTCGTTATTACCCGGATTGTGATTTCCTTAAGGCCAAAAAAGGTTCGCGTGCCTCCTGGGCGTGGTCTAGCCTCCTTGAAGGAAGGGATGCTTTGATCAAAGATTCTCGCTGCCAGATTTTTGATGGGAAAAATACGAATATTTGGAAAGACATTTGGCTTCCCCCTCCCCATGATGGGATTATCAAAGTTAGGGAAATTGTTCCCCCATCAGCCCCTCAGCAAGTTTATGAGATTATGGAAAAGGAGACACATTCTTGGAAGCTAGAGTTGATTAAGCCGTATGTACAACCTCGCACTTTGGAGATTATTCGATGTTGTACAATTGCGAATACTGAGAGACAGGACAAAATGGTGTGGCCCTGGACAACTAATGGTGCCTACTCAGTCAAATCAAGATACAGAAGAATTCATTCCCGGTGTTCATATCTAATCCATGCAACAGGTTCGACATCCCACTCAATTCCAAAAGAGGTCTGGGTGTGCATATGGAAGATTGAATCTTTGCCAAAAATTAAAATGTTCCTCTGGAGGGTATTATCTAATGCTATCTCTACCCGTTGGAATCTCTATAGAA